AATAGGAAATACCCTGTACCAAAACCTTAACGTATTATATAACATATGCATTTTTGTTCACATGAAAAGACGGACTGATCAATAACGACGAACAGACAGACGGATATGACTAAGGCAAATCTTTTGTTACTGCTAATCAAGAATTTGTTTACTTTATGCTGTCAGAAATGCTTCCTGCTTCTTGTCACATACCAATGGGCACAGGGTAAAATTCACACAAATGATATTAACCCTCGATTGGAATTTAATTTGCGTAAAACTATAATAAAAATTAAATAAATAAAAATAAAAGGATATTCTTGTCACATTTGACTGATTTGCCAAATTTAAAATGAACTAATCAGCATTCAGTCATGGTCGGTGCTTTAAATAGAGTTTAGTAAATGCTCAGGCTTACAGAAATTCAATCCGCAAATCCGTTGCCAGGGCACAGCTGATTATTCAATTCACTCAACTACTTTTGCTACTCGGACGAATTTCAATAACTCAGCTTGACTTGCCGGACTGCTAAAAATGGAAAAGTGAAGCTGTCCAGTTTGTCTTCCAATGGGCCAACAATTTGATGCTGCTGCTGTCTACGGCTATAGCTATAGCTACAGTCAGATAGACAATTGATGCCGTGCATGGGTTGGCATTCGTGTTAAACGGTGGCAACTTGGTAAACGTGACTCTCCTTTTAGCCATGCATCTCGAGGTCGGTATGGCCCTCAGTGTTACATGTGTGCATGTGTGTGATGATAAGTGCACACATTCAATTGCATATTCAAATTATTTGAAATCGCATTTGTCTGTGCGTGCAGGTAGCCAGCACGTGCACTTTCTACACCTAATGCCAATGTTGATTTGCATGAGTTATTTGGCGCTTAAGTAAATTTAATAAAATCTATATGCTCAATGCTACACATGTGAATGTAAGCATTCGAACTCGACTCGACTCTGCTCGCCTCGCTACTGTCACACACAGAATACCATTTGGGTTTTCAATTAAATTTATGGCTGGCAAATGCCATGAATGCCCTACCACAACCCTCCCTTTAAGACCAAACAACTTGTGACTGGCAACTGGTAACTGGTAACTGGTAACGGCAAAGTTCATTTCGGCGTAAAGGACGAAAATCGATTAGATTCAAATCTTTTAATAAGTTTCATTTCCGTTTTGTGTTGGCTTTCGTTCATGCGCTGTCTATGCCTGAGTGGGGCAACATGCCGACCCTTTGATTACCCCAAACCTCGTGCCCGTGGCAACCACACCTATTTGCCTTGTGGCTTTAAGTTTTTGGTACAGTTTATTAGCCGTATTAGGTCGCGCTACGGAAAATATAGTTCGAATTATAGCCATAAATGTTGAGAGCTGCTTGCCTATTGTCGACACTCAAGTGGTTGCAAACCAAATTAGGTCAACATAATAATATGCCTACAATGCCACATATACATATTTACTAACCTAATAACTGCCTTCGATTGAGGATTGACGATTGACTGGAGTACAAACTGAGTATCGATTTGTCGAACTGCAAATGCGATAATGATTATGTTTCCTTAATGCTGATGGTTGTGTATATGTGTGTATCGCGACAAAAGCAACAGTTGAACAGAAGCCACCAATTTCCCCCATTCATACTACGAACACTCTCAGCCAAATCATTCATATTTAATAAGCACGTCAAACACTAAAAGCCACATGCGGCGATTTTGAATTGATGCTTTGCCACGAGTTGTAATTGCACGCAAGGCAGGGCATGTGATCGGTCAATCTATGTACAAATACACGTTTATGTATACATGCTTATGGTATGCATGTCTGTATATTGGCATACTTGTGAGCCCTGGCAGGGCATTGAGTACTGCTAGCGAACAACAATTAGCTTGACAGCTAAGAACGAGAAATCAGCTTTCAAAATCAATTTGTGCTCCAAAAACAGAAGGATAATGATAGACACACAGAATTGTGCTTTACAAAACCCTGTCAGGCCATTAGAACACAAGCACACACACACACACACACACACACACACACACACACGCACACGCACACACATTGCTACTATGTGTTGTTTGCACGTCCCAACCAGATGTCGAATCTGGGCAGCGCTTTCAACGGCTTCTGGCTTGTCTTTTTGGTCGTCTTACGGCCGTGGCCCTTCTTTCATGTCAGGTGGCTTAATTGGCTGTGAGATGACAAAAGCGGACATACACCCGCACGCACACACACACGCATACACACATACATATGTGCAGGGACACACCTTTGTAAAAATTGAAGTTAACTTGACTTTCAAATCATTCACATTGGCTATTATATATATATAATATTTCAGATTTATTTATATATGTAATTATAAACATATAAATTGTCATTTAAATTAAAGGTTATATTTAATGTAAACCTGAAATACTTTCAATTTATAATTAAAATTCTCATTTAATGGTTTGTCATCAATAATGAATGATGTGGCCATACGTCAAGTCCAGATTTGAGGCATATTCTGAATTCTTTGTTGTGTTTACTATATTTCGCACTTCTCGTTTGCTGCGGTGAAAGCTTTTGCCACATTAACGACGATACGAGTAGTGACAGTTGGTGGAGGCAGGACTCGGGCTGGCTTCACACGCAAGGATATTAAATGTGTTTTAACACACGGCTTTGGCTTTTGTTTGGCCTCACTTTAATCTTGATTCTCAAAGATGGATATATACATAGTTTTCATCATGTAATCGTAACGCATCTTTTATACATTTAAGTAAATAAGTATATATATTTATATATATCTATTTACTATGTGTTGTGTGAGTTTAATAACAATTAAAAATAATCGATATGGTTGTCGAGCAGCGTCAATGTAACCTCAATCGTAGACAATTAAATTTAGAGCACAAGTCCCCGGTCCAAGTACCTAAAACAATAACAATTATTTACATCGGATTAGAGCTGTTGCCAACACGTCGACACTTGGCCAACATTTTTGTTGCTCCGCCAGCAATTTCAATTCCCATTGGCCAATTGCTGTTGTTTTTGTTGCTGATGGCCCTAACCGCAACGCAAACTGTTTGTTTAATTAAAATGTAAAAGGCGAACAGAATAATTTTCTTGCCATGCTCTCTCTGCTCTCTCTTCGATGCGGTGAAATATGATGCAAATCATGAACCCTCTTCTGGTCCACGTCAAATGCCGCTCATTTGTATTAATATTGCTTAAGCCCGATTGAGACTATATATCGATGATATTGTGCTTGCTCCTTGGCCTAATCGCTACCATTTTGTCGGCACTTTATTTTACTTTTATTTGCACGCCTTTCGCAAGAGTTTAATTTTCATTACTTACTCTTCATTTGGTTTTTTTATAATTACGAGACAATACCTACTTCTTGGCTACCTTATAGTGCCTAGATAATTGCAATGCCCCCGCCTCACCCCTCCCTATCTACTGGTCCCGCAGACACCTATTATTACGCAGAGCAAACAATTGAATTTGAATTCATTTTAATTGACAATTTACGCTTTAAAAGTGTAAATTTATCTAGAATATAAATTGTGTCTTTAAAAATTTATGCTTTCAAGCTGCCGGCTTAATTAGAGTCAAATGATTGCGCAAATATATTCAAACAATCCAACTTGCTTTTCTAATATTCTCGTAACTCATGATGAATACGAATATCTTATAAATAATATAAGTTGCTCTCAATGTAAAATTCATAAAAAGCTTGTCCTTTTGCTGCTGCTATACATACTAAATTTAGTTTACGAATAACATAAGTAAAATTTACTTCACTTAGCTTATGGAGAAAAACAGGAAATTAATCATTTTTATTCTTTCATTTCCACTTCTTCTTGCGTACTTAACTTTTTAGCTTAATTTGCAAAATAAACGTTTTATTGCACTGAATAAATAACGGGAAGCTTTAGCTTCAAAGGCGAAAAGCACAGCCAGAAGTTAATCATATTTAAAGTTTTCACTATCACTAACTAAGAAAATTACAATGTGTCCTGCGCATTCAGTGGCAATTTTAGTTGACTTAAGGCAGACACGCGCTATTCTTTATATAAATATATATAATCCTTACGCAGATGATACTTAATTAAATCAGTGCAAATATTAAATATATAGTCATTTGTGAAATACTACAACTTAATTTCTTGTAACATATTTAGTGTTGTAGTTTATCGGGCCTGCCCCAAATTGTGAAAACGGAAAAGCTTTTCGTTTTAATATTCAAAGCGCCATCAACGGAAACGGGAGAATTTTGCTATATAGATACATAGATATTTCGGTTGTCCTTAAAAATGTAAAATAGAATCAAGCGACCGAATACCAAAAGAAGAAAAATATTTCAAGTTAGAGCTTCAAGCTAGGACGTACATAGATTAGGATTAATAATATACAATCTAAGAATTCAATCACATCTTAATTTTTTTATTTTTCAGTAACTATTGCATTTTTACAATATATTGTGTCATCGACAAGACAACTACTACTTTTGTGATCGAATCATTAAACGCATTCAAAAACAATCTGGTTCCAACTTCAAGCTTCAAATAGTGAACAAAGAAAAGAAAAAGAGTATAGATATGGAAACACTTCTAAATGTGATATCTATATGAACCAGGGTGTTCAGATTCAGTCCTGAATATTTAGATTGTGTTTTGCAAAGGCCATAGTGAGACTTCTACTTATATTTACTTAAACATAAGAAAAGAGCATAGATGTGAAAACATATCTATAGTTGATACTTATATGGTATGGGAGTTCACATTCAGGTATATACGCATAAGCTAATCTGAAACACCTGCACTAGGAACGACGCCTCTAGCAATCTGTAAGATGAGCAGCGCCTTAAAAGACTGCCAACTTCAACTTCAAAGGGAAATTGAAACCAAGCTACTGTCTCAGAAGTGCGCATCACTTGAACGCTGAACATTATGTTAATAAAATAAAAAAGATAAAACTACAACTACTATGTTAACTGACTAAGGTAACCTAGATATATTTACAAGCCAATCTGCTACGCCGCAGGCAAATATTTGGAACCGGATACCGCCTGGGCCGGAGCGTCTTCCTCCTGCTCGCGCCTTTCTAGTGCCGAGCTAAAGTCTAGGACTGGTGCCACGCCCTCATCGGAGCTACGCGAGCTGCCGCCCAGCGCATCGAATTGCTGCTGGATGAGTTGCTGGGCACGGACAGCATCCTCTGGCGTGCGATATTTGACAAAGTGCACCTCTGGCTTATGGCCAAGTGTCTGCTTCTCGGATTGCAGTCGCTCGGCCAGCTGGCCAACATCCGCCTGCTTGGTCAGAACATAGATGGCGGTGCGTTGTTCGCTGGATTGTTTGGCCAGCTGCAGGGCGGCATTGGTGAGGCCCTGTTGCTCGGGTGACTTGATGAAGAGCACACGAAGATTACGCTTCAGCATGTTGGCTATGTGTTCGGTGGCCTCGCGGTCTGCAAAGTCCTCCTCGGGTGCTGAGTACGTGTAAAACTCCTTGTTGAATTCATCCGCCGCCGCCAACTGTTGCTGTTGTTGTTGCGGTTGCTGCTTCTGTTGCTGTTGTGCATGCGTTGCACTAAATCCTGTTGCCTCCTCATCGATAAGGCCAGCAAAGCGCCTATCCTCAACAGCAGCCCGATTGTAATTGTAACCCAATTTCAATGCGCTTACAGCAGCAACTAGCCAAATTAGCTGCAAAATACATAGCCATGAGGATAGCCATTAGTTATTCGAGTTATTCCATTGCGATAACCTGGGCACTTATGATTTCAATTTGGTCAAACACTTACCAGAAATACACGCATCATACACTTATGGTTTGCTAATGCTGCTATTGTTGTTGCTGTCGCGCACGGATCTGTTGTGTGCTACGAAAAGTTGCAAACTGACGTCCAGAGATGAGGGCTAGCTGATTTTTATACGCGCATTTAATTTTAAATGGCCCAAAAGAGTGAAAATTCCGAATTGTAACTAAAATGATAAATGATGCGAACGCTTGCAATACGCCAGAGTGATTTGGCCAAAGTTTCAGTTTCAGTTTTCGGATTCAGTTTCCATTTTGATTTCGTGCCCAATTCAGCTGTTGCAATCGCGCCACGAGCAACCAACTATAACAACAAGCAACAATCGGCAACCAAAAACAGTTAATCAAAGATAAATGGGCATTTAAGCGTTAACACTGCGCCTCGGGTCTGCACCCAATGGGGCGTTGGTTGCTCTCCGTTACATAAACACCATGCTTGGCAAACTACAGATGTTTTGCTCTGGCGGCCAAACATCAAAGCGACTGTGTGCCACCAAAAACTATGCGGAAATATGCATAATTAATTAATTAGTCAACAGACAGCAGATGGTAAAATCATTTTGATTTTTTGATTTTGATTTTGATTTTTGATTACAATTTAGCATTTCTTGTGTGTGTGAGTGAATCTGTCTATCTAAGGTATATATTAAATATTTAAACTGCCAGGCTAAACAGTGTGCCTTGCTCTGGATACAGATGGGCAAGAGCTAAGCAAACTGGCTAAGAACAACAAATCTGCACATTGTCTTGCTTACAAACTCGCTTAAATTAGATATAAGTGACACCCTGGAGACACACTGCACTGCATAAACACTACTGCATAAATTATATTTAACTACAAACATATACACTAAAACACACACACAGCAACTATTGTCTCTGGCTGCTATAATATAGTATCCAGACTTGTTAAGTAATTGTCTTGATAGCTGCACATAAATCTGATTACGTGTATGTAGTGTATGTGTAGGTGTGTGTGTGTGTGTGTGCTTGTGTTGGTTGTGTTTGTTGTGCTTGTGTGTATCTGTGTGCCGTTACCATAGAGGATGCGCTCTGATTGATAATGGTTGAGGTTAAGGGCAGCCAAATGACCATTTAGCTGTCAATTTAAATTCATCATAATTGAGCCTAAGGCGAAGGATGCTCCTGCCCAGATTTATCGGCCCAAATAAGCAAACAATTCTATCATTGTGCTGGCTGGAAGCAGCAGCAACAGGCCCTAGACTCTATTTGACCAAGTCCACAAAACAATGCCCATTTATGCACATAACGAGACGACATACATATATCAGCACAAGAGGCAAATGTTCATTTCGGTGCCAGTAGCGGACAGAGTTTTGGTCACTGGGGCATTTAGTTTACCTATGTATTTGGTAAGTGTGCACAATTTGTTAAAATAAAATAATAAAAAAGCCTCCAGACTCAACGATACTTTGTTTAATCACTTTTGCAGAGGGCTAAGAAATAAAAGTAACAACCAAAAAAAAACAAAAAAAAAATGAAGGACAGAAAAGTTTTTGGGACAGTTGCTGAGGCAGCTATTATGCCATTGATATAAACACCCGCCAAAAGCTGCGTATCCAAAGTTAAATAACATGGCCTAGGGTCAGGTTGCCAGGTGCTTGTTTTCCTTGTACGGGACCATTCCATGCCCACTGCTTGTTTATATATAGACCAAACGCAGAGGCAGAAGAAAACGCAACTAAGCCGAAACAATAACAAATAGCAACAACAGTCAAAAGTTGCCACAAAACAAGCGAAACGATAAAGTAAATTATAAGATTTTCTTCAGTTCGTTCAATTCATTGGCCGTTGGCTAATTTTTGTGGCCATCAATAGGTCCTGAAGTGGACTGGGTAATTGATATTGGCGTGTGCGCAGTTAATTAAAATTTTTCAAAGCAAGCACGTGCCTTATTTATCCTATTTAGCCTATAAATCATGACATCAACAGCCACAATACATACAAACACACACATATATACATAATACATACTTACATAAATACATAGATACATAAATACATACATACATACATACATACATACATACATACACATATACATATGTATTTATACAAACAGCTAATAATGGCAATTACTGCGTAAAAACAGACAAGCTATTATGGATATTAGGCATAACCTTTGCAGGCAAAAGTTCAGCAGACAAATGCAATTGCGCCATAATCACTAGTATACATTAGTAAATGGCCACAAGCACTGGCAAGTGGCCAAAACGGCCGTAATTGAACACAGTGTCCCACAATTGTTTGCGTGCTCTTGACCAAACATGGCTCTTATCACGGCCCTATTAAAATGCTATTATCAACAAAATGAAACAACAACAAGAATATTGACATTCTGTCTGTCTGACACAGGTTCACAGTGCGTTAGCCCAATTTTGTCCATGGTGAAAACCGGCTAAAAGCTAGGCATTAATATTAATGAACTACTCGAGACTGCGATGCGATCCAACGCGACTGCGGCTGCGGCTGCGAAACACGCGACCCCCGGCAGTTCATTAAAGTGTCAAATACTCTGGCTCACAGTAGCGGGATTCCCCCCTACCACAATAATCTTCTAAATAGAAAACACAAATTTATTTAAAAGCAACAGCACAAAACGAACAGCAGCGCATAACAAACATGACAACAAACCTGTTGCTGCTGCCAACTGCCAACTGCCAACTGCCAACTGCTGCTTGATGTTGACGCCCAGCTTAGCTGTCATTATGAACGTGTCATAAATCACTTGTTGCCAAATTATTTACATGTGTGCGACAACAACTAACTGCAAATCAAATAACTATTTCAAACTACATTTTTGCTAGTTAAGCTGGTCAGCACATTAATTGCGCATACGCAATGGGTTTCCAGTGTGTTCCACATGATTGATGACATTGCAGCGTCAAAATTACTAAGCACGAACATCAATTTAGGTCTTTAACTTTTCAATAAGAACAAATTAGACATGGAATGCTTTACGTTGTTAGATAGTGTGAAATGATATGCAAAATTTGACAGACCAAGTAAATGAGTGGCAAAATCATTTCGTTTTCCAATTTGGCATTTTAAGGCTAGAGCCTCAGGCTGCATTGGCAGGCCAGCATCAACGTTAACGTCATCGTCATCGCCATCGTCAAGACATATAGACGTGGTCCCAACACCCTCAAACAAACTCCAAGACGCTGCTCCCTGTCTGTCTTGAACGTTAAAAACAATTAGTATGACAATTTATCAAATGCCCGCAGGCAAATGATTTATTAACGCACAGGCTGCCATACTACCGAAAAAAGAAGGAAAAAAAATAACAATAACAGCAGCAACAAACCAACTCACCCATTTTTGTGGGCCACAACGCGCTTTTGCGTAGGCCGCATTTTTATTTGCTTTTGCGGGTGCGTCCGATGTTTGCTCATTTCCTTCCTACTTCGGGGCCTTTTACGTTGCGCAATTTATAGTTAATAAACATTTCCGACAGCCAAAACTTTAATGCGCCTCTCGCATCGACAGAATATAGCTTTAGTCTGACATTTCCCTTTTAAATAGCTACAAAAGAATGCTTTAATTGTGGCTCAGTTTCAAAGTGCGAATATTTAACAAGAAAGTTACTGTTTCCCTTTTTTTTTGTAATTTTACTTCAATCCCCATTCGGGTTCTTCTTATTATGGGGCATAAATTAAAAAGAGATTGAATGGCATTATTAACTTTCGCTTCCTTTTCTCGTGATTCCATCAAAGTTAAGAACTAATTAAACACGAATTCATGATTCGTCTTAATTTCACAAACTCAACAAATTCCACTAATTCTCGATGGCAAAGGGACAAAAAAAGGCCCAAAGAAATGTCAAAGGTATATGTACATCAAAATCATGCTTAGATCTGATTTTTGTGGTCAAACCCACCCATATCACACTTCACATTTCCAAAAACAAATTATAATGTTGCCTTTGCACACGTGCATAGTTGAAATTGGAAGTTACTGTGTACTTACATATTTGTATTTCCTTTACCAAAATTGTGTTTGCCACCATATTACATGCTTGTTATGGCATAATAATTGGCTTTAATTAATTATATTTGGACTGCATGTCCTGAAGGTGGCCAGCTGAAATAGTTCTGCATAATTAATTGAGTTTTGCCATCATAAGCAAACACTTAGAGCAAACATACAACAGAGTGACTCAATGTGAGAGTTTGAATGCTGAAGCTTTCGTACTCTATCAGTTAAGTGTTGGAAAAGGTCGTTTGAGTGCGGGGCAGAGCTTTCGTGTGGAGTGTAAAGCTTTTGACGTGAATTTTAATACAGTTTTTACTTGTTTCGATGGTTCAAAGCCAAGCTAATATTTAAAGCTTTTGAGAAGCTGCCCAACATACATATTTTTATTTATATCTCTGTATGTATGTGTTAGTTGGGTCAATCTGAAATTTCCGCTTGATAAGAAATCAAACTTCCGGTTAGGCCGTTTTCCAACTTTTATTTACAAAATTAAATAGATTTATTTTTCATGTCCATTACAGGAGAATCAAAATAGCCAAACTATTATTTAATAAAAAGTAACAAAACCGTTTTCTATGGCAAATAATAAATAATGCGCGAAAATATCTCTGTTCAGTGTGTTTAACATAAATACTAGACATTATTTAATTTGCAACTTCATTTAAGTGTATTTGTGTATTTTGTATCTACAACATCAAAGATAACTTTACATCAATATAAGTTATTTATTCTGATGATATATATATATATATATATGTATATGTGTGTTTGTATATATATGTATATATATATATATATATATATATAGTATACATTTTAATAGATGTATATAAATATGTACTATATTTAGCCACTTTTCTTGAATGTATTTGTATATTTATGTATAATATTTATGTCACGGCTCATTTTTGATCAAAATCAACATCGCTTTCGGTTAATAATTACACATGTAATCATGTATATATGTATATATCATATATATGTATTATATATGCATATATCATTCATTTGCACTTTAACCAATGAACTTTAACAATGTCCTTTAATGTATTTAGTTTCTGTATACTAAACAAATCTATCTCTGTTGTTCTGTTCTTGTACTTTATATTTATCATTTATCATGTTTCATGCTTCCACTTCCATCAATAACACACTCTATGTATTTGTTTATATTTTTATAAAGTTTATAATATATACCATTTTTATGCTCGCTATTATTATTTTCTTCTTTGTTTTTTGTTTGGCCCCCGAAAGAAACTGAAAACTGCGTGTGTAAATGCAATTTACATGCACAAACACGAAAACAAAATACATACATATATATAGCAAATAGAACACACTTATAGAGAGATTTCTGGAAGCGGTGCGCATCTTGGACTTCATCCACATTTGTAAGTTTAACATTTTATGTTTATATTGTATAGGGAAATTAAAATAGCTTTTAAAATACTTCAGCTATAGAAATGTTATAAGGTATGTATGTAATTATGTATATATATATATATATATATACATATATATATATATACATATATATATATATATGTATATATATGTATATAGTTAGATATAGTACATTTACAAGACATTTTAATTGTATAAGAGAGATAAGATTTGTGTACTCAATGATTCCCTCGCTCTGTCGCTCAAATACTACTACAGTAATACACGTATGCTATACCTGTTTTCAAATGATTTTTGCTGCTTATCTTTGATAGTTTCTACGGGTTTTTCTTTTGTTTTGTTTTGTTTTCTTTGCTAGGATTCAACACTATTTTTTTCGAATTTGTGGGTATGAACAAAATTTGCAGTCGATATAAGAATAATGTGCGCTTGAAAAATTCCACAAATTGTTATCTCGTCAACTTAAGAAAAACATTCAGCGTATTCTGGTCTGGTAAAAGCTCATCGAATTAATTAACTAAGAAAAATGTTTGAATATAATGCAATTGAAGACCATTTGAGCTTTGAGCTCCATCAATTTTCAATTGTAAAAACGCTTAAGAAACGTAGACATCAAATTAAGAACTCAATTCTATAAAATATATGTAAATTTTCAATTAATCCCATTTAAAACAAAACACAGCCAGCACATTTCTTGCAATTCATACTACTAAACTCAATGATATAAGCCAAGATGACTAATGGACGACGTTGCTCACGGACACATTTTACTTCATCTTTTTGTCCTCGTGCGCCTTCTTAACGATGGCCAGCTTTGAGTGCGGCGAAGATGGCGACAGGGTGCGATAAGGTGCCTCCTTGGTGCCATGCAGAACCAGTGACCATTCCACCAAATGCCCGAGTCGCGTTTGGGCCGAATTAAAGCGTGCCTGTCACACAACGAGATATTTTAAATCACAAATTATTGACTGCGCGATAAATGCGAAAATACCTCCAATTTCCATGTGCCCTGTGGATACTCGCCCCAGGAGTGTGTGGTCATGAAGGGCCATTTGGTGAAACCGTCGCGATGATCATCATCATTGGCACGACGCGACAAAATCATGGATCTGGATGCGAAGGTATAATGTGAAATATTGCTTAGTTCAAGTAGAGTATACTCTCCACTCACTTGGTGCCCATGGGAGAAGTGAGAAACAGCTCCAGGTCGCCACGTCTCGAAGCATTTGCCGTGATGACCGCCTGTACGTGCTCCAAATAATTGACTTCCGTGTCGCTGCCCTTGCAAGCATCCGTTTTGATTTCCCAAAACAGGGAGCGACCCGTTATAATTGGCCTACGCGACGCAAAGCAGCAAAGGTTTAGCCTTAATGCAAACTATGTTAAGCCATATCGTGCACTTACTGAGCCCTGTTAATCTCGCCGGCCTCACAGTGATAGCGTGCTGGCACCGAGTGCCACTGCTTGGCCAGGGTCACCATGGCACCCGCATCGAGCACACCGAACCCAAAGAGGTGATTGAACTCCAGCCCAACGCCATTCATGGTCCAATAGAAACGACTCTTGGCATCGAACAGCGAATTACGCTTTGATGTCAGCACAGTCAGATGCTGAATGTCTCGCCAAGTCAGCTGCGGACTGTTGTTGCCAAGTATTCAAGTGGGATTAGCATAATTTATATAAGAGTTTAGAAAAAAATTTCTATATTCCACACGCTGGCGTTAATATACCCATTCAGTCTCATATCGAATGTAAATCTCTAACATATTAAGAAAAAACTAAAAACATCACACTTTCTCACAATATCATTTCTAAAACGGTATATTCTCAAAATATGTATTCGTTAATTCGTATTTTCTCAAACATTTTCGTTTGCCTATATTTTATATAAACTCTATACGCAAAAGTTAGTTCAACAAGAAAATAATTCATATATGGTTAATATGAAACTATGTTTTGGTTAAACAAAATCTGTGATTTCATGATCTTTATGCACATATAGACGAACGGATGGACGGACAGATGGTTCCTATATAGGACCTACTGCGATGCAAGAATATAGCAATAAGAACAACACCAACAACTCCATACTTACTTCGCTTCTAAGGCCAGCGCAAAGACGCCAGCTGCTTCGGGCGCTGCGGCACTGGTGCCCGAATGGGTTGTCGTACACTTGCCATAGAGGTCGGTGGTGGCAACGCCAGTGTTGGGATCCTTGGCACCGTTGCTGAATGTGGATGCTAGCGTTGAGCTGCAGCTTTCATCGTAGTGGGCGTTCTGGCCATCGTTGATGGCGCTGTTTATCGAAATAGTCCACATGGAGGCTGCATAGCCATCGCAGTTGCAGTCATCCTCCTCGCCGCCATCGCCAGAGGCCCACACATAGATGTTGCCCAAACCATTGCGTCCCTGTGGGTGGCCAGCATTTAAAAACGATTATGACTCCATCACCAAGCTAAAGCTAAATGGATTCTCGTACCTCATTGACACCCTGTACGATGGCGCGCATGGTGGCATTGCGCGGTCCATCCACTGTTTTGCCATCGTCGGTGGGACCCCAGGAGGCGCTGTATATATGTATTTTATGGGGCTCATGACCCATTGAGTTGGCTTCGATTAGGTCGGTCATATAGGGCTGATCCAGCATGCGTATGCCTGTGGAGCATCGATAAGAATGCATTAATCTTAATGCTCCAAATTATAAATCAATATTTATAGTCGTCTATATATATATATATATATACGTATGTATATATGAAAGCCACCAGCAAACTGTTGCTAGTCGCTTTTGCTTTTTTGCACTTGACGCTTTATAGCAATCGTAAAATAAAAACACGCAATGTGCACGATTATCAAATATTTCCGATTTCTCATATGATTTTTCCCACTCGTGCTATAAAAATGACAGATAAGATTCGCTTGATTTATGCAGAGCATGGTCCCCTTAGAGATTCTCTTGATTTCGGATATACTGCGTATACACATTTATTTTTGTCAACTAAGTGAATTACGGCAATATTTGTCATATGTATGAACTCCCTGTTGGACGTTGCGTATTCGTGATGTAATACTTTTAGTGCAAATTTTGAAGACGCACAATTAATTCAGGCGCCGACTGTTCCCACGTCCTGTATGTGACCCACTGCCAAATCCACTTACCTGCGATTTTACTGTCATAAGCAACGCCCACGCCGCAAATTCCATTATCTCTGGCAGCAGCCACTTCGCCGGCGCACCGAGTTCCATGACTGTCAATGAAGAGTGGAAGTAGAGAGAATGGTAGAAGGGTAGAAGGAAAAACAGCGAAAAGGGATTGGTGACCTTGTCATCCATTGTGGTAAGGAGTGTTTAGCAGAAAGAGGCTTTCCAGCCACTATGCAATAAACATCATAAGCACAAAACAGCAAACACAAACAAGAGCTTCAACCAAATACCCTTGAGTGCCAACTTTGAAATAACAAACGCAAAAAACAGAAACAAGGCAAACAATTAACAAAAGCTTGTTTTATTTGATTTAAAGCTGCAGCAAAACGAAAAAAACTTATCAAATTGTTTTGAAAAAAGAAAGAAAAACAATTTTTGGGTACAGCTGCTCCCTTTTTCTTGTACACAATTAAATTTCTAAATGTCAATCAGGCAGGTGGAAAATTATTATAGTAGAGCAACATTTTTGCGAGTTTCAGTCTATTGTCCCTCTCCCTAATGAATAGAAGGCCACCAAGCACTGAGGTCTTGCCACAACTTACCTGTTGAACCAATCATCCGTGTAGCGGGGATAAGGGAATGCATCATTGCTGCTAAAGTCATAGCTGGCTTCGGCGTTCTGAAAAGGAGAGGGATAGGGGGAAAGAATAGAAGTGAAAGGGGTGAGCGAGAATGCTATATTAATCTCCAGAGTTACGCACACGATATAACAAGCGAAATGGGGTGAGTTTTAAGTGCGTTTTGCTGTTTCATCATTAATAGGCTCTGAATAAAACTGCCCTTTATAATTTGCTGTTACGTACACGAAGCACTGCAATTGTGTACGTGTCAAACAAGGCAAATGTAAATGTACACTACGAAAAAAGTTCGCACTGAATTTTTGATTGTTATAATATTGTTATAATAGTAATACAGGCAAAAAAACAACTTTCCATTTTTGCAGCATACTTTCTGCATAATAAATTTCGTGTAGATTATTTTCTGAGTTTACATGTATAAAATACAGCACAAATCAAAAGTGCTCGACAAAAATCAAGAATGCTCAAGAACACATTCCGTTTGCAGAATATATGTGTGATGAAAAGGAGAAAATGTTTCCCTAGGTAATTTTATCTTTTTTTTTAGCACGTATTCTATTTCTGTCTATTGAAAGGTCACAAGTAGTCTTTACGAATTTACTTTTACAAGAAGTGCTGTCATTCAACTGTTTTTTCTTTGCGATTTATTTTTGAATACCTTTCTTTTTAATCTTTACATATATATGTATGAAATAATGACGTGAATCTTGCGCTTTCAAGCCAACATAATACAAATTTCATCGCACTCACTTTATTATTATTATACACTGATCGCAAAAGGAAAATACAAATTTTTCTACAAATTCTTTTTGAATGCTTTTTGCGCATTTTTTGATATCAAACAAAATGTGGTACTAAAATGTGCAAATATGTCTAAAATTATCAGACATTTTATTGATTATGAATTATTAATTCTGTTCTTAAGAAATTCAAGGGCAACTGGTTCTAGTTATCCAACACTAATTATAGAAATATTGTGAAAATATAATAAATTCACCGAAACTCAATTGTTTTGGCTATTTATCAAATATCTTCTTACTTTATCTCAAGTCTTTAAAAAGAATTCTGAATTGCATTTGAATCAACATTCTCAATTTAAACTGCACACGCATATGGTTAAACTTAATCAGTTTTCCATTTTCATTAAATTGTCATATTGATTTAACCAGTAATATAGAAAAGATTCCGAGTTTCTAATGGATCCCGGCCAAATTAAATAAAACCGAACAATTACTGCAGCTTTGCACAAATCGCATTTGAAAGGGGTTTATTTGACCATAGCATTCAGCAAATATACTTTGCAATGCTATCAACCCACAAAGACAAACACATATGCGTCTTTTCAAGAATACGCAATTACTCACATAATTGAATTTCAAGTCCGGATGCATGTAGTCCACTCCTGCACAGTGCAAAACGAAAAAATAGAATGGTTTAAAATCTGTCATCCGGTTCTGGATCCGCTACTTGTTACTTGCCGTCATCCATGATGGCTGTGGTCACGTTCTTGCCAGTGATACCCTGGGCCCAGGCTGCCTGCACGTTGAGATCGAGGCGCACCTTACCACCATTCTGTCCGGTGTTCTTCAGATACCATTGCATTGGAAAGTACGGATCCGTTGGCTCCACATCAATGGCATTCGATTCGCTCAGTGTGGCCGCATAATGCAGGCCATGAATGGCGGGTATTGCAGGTCGCAGTCCACGCTTGACACGCTTGAAACCCGGCTGTTGCACGGCCGTATGCACCTGTAAAGCAATTATTGCAAAATGTATTCATGTATCAATATTTATAACGTAACGCTGACAGCTGTCGACGGTAGTGACAAGCCAAACCGAACTCATTTATGGATCAACATTATGCGTCAGTCTAAAATGCTAATCTCGTTGTGAAACTCGTCGCTGACAGGCCAACAAGCAAACAAAGCACAACAACGAATCTGCATAATTTGCATTTGCATAGCCATTGTTTGCCTCCTGTTTCTCTGTTGCATTTTGAATAGTAATTATCGATAGTTGTACTCGGGCACGTAACGGACAGACTAACAGCAGGATGAACGGACAACGAAAGTGAACTTTGGCATTTCTTGCAAAACCCTCTCAACGAATTTTGCAATGAACCCAGGTTATAATTTTCACTTTGGATCTTACAGCTTGTGTGGAACAGATTTACTCACCGAGGGATGGCTCTTGAGGGCACGCGTGTGCGTCAGGCTGCGACGGGAACGGGCGTGTGGCAAGGTCCTGTGCTTGAAATGGAACTCATGTCCATCGGCGCCTACCAGCTGCAAGTATAAAAGTAGCATTTTCATTAAATGCACAGCACACTCGTTCTAATTGAGATTAACACATTAATTCGCCTCGTTCAAATATTGCTGCGTCAGCCATAATTGAGCCATAATTGACTTTAGCTGGCTATTCCCTCAATGCCTCCCATATAAGTTTCTATATATTTATATATATGTATATGTATGTGCATATGTATATGTGTATGTTTAAGTATGTGCGTGCTTGTGCCGATAATTGCGTTTTAAATTGCAAGTCATGGGCATCATCCTCACAGCATTATCATCATCATTCAAGAAGTAGCCCTCGTCCTTGGCTAGGCTTTGGTAAATTGAGAGTTTGCAGCTTTGCTGGCCTACTCTATTCCTACAATTTATTTTCCATTCCCTCAATTCCAAAACGCCGTATATCGAGTTACGCAAGATACTCGCATGTGCCAGGCCCCTGGTCCTGTACCCGAATCCACTGAGACTCGGCAGCAACGCAAACTTTTAATTTGCCCCTCAAACCACGCCCCAACATAAGGGGGCACAGTAATAGAAAGCCTACAATTTATTGGTACAAAATTGAGTTCAGTCTAACTTTCAAATATCAGGCAATCTCATAAAGCTGTTCATAACAAAGCACTGTGTTGAAAATAAATGGCTTTAAAACTGAGCATAACTATAAATTAACCGTGAAATAAGAATTGGATCATCGGGCTTAAAATGAAAATGTTCAATTAAAAAGATATTCAACTTTTTATAATAGTTTCAAACTTTACAACGCTATGAGGCCGACAGAATGCGAAATACTTCGTTGTATAAGAAATACAAAATATATGTATATCTTGGTATATCTTATAAATGATATAAATATATATTTATAAATACCAACAATTTTCTTCCATCAAATTTCTAAGGTTTAATTAGGGTCTAAAATTTGAAGCCAAACAACACGCATATCTTATAATACCATATCTTATAAAGCATGAACCTTATTATTTTCCATATGGGTGACCGTTGTCTTGCTGACTATTGTTGGCAAGTTGTGCACAGTGGAATAGTTATTCTGGGCAACGCATTATCTAAATACCCACTGATGTTGAATAATTACCAGATATCTGGGGGATGCTCTTAGGAATTAATAAATAGATTAGCTTTTGCAGCTACCAACGCAACTATTGCGTGGGCGTATCATTTACGGCTGATAAGAACAGCTGCTGAGCTGCCTACGCTTTTTTGTTGTTGCTCAACTGTACGCAATTAGAATGCGTGGCTTCAGCTGAGTTATGGCTGGAATTTATGTAAAAGCCAACATCAACTTTTTGCTATATATATTTTTTGGCGAAGGCTTGTTTGCATGCTCTTTGCAATCTGAGTAGATGTCAGCATTTAAGCAGCATGGGCTTAACGCAGAGCTATGGCCACAACCTATCCATCAGCCCGTTATGTATTTAAATTGCAAAGGGATTTTTGCTGATGAAGGGCTTTTTCAATTCCGACTCATCAGAAACCTAAAAAATTCTATATTTACTTATGCATTTGTCTGCTTCAATATAAGTCGCCCAACGGGAAATTTGAGGCTACAAATTGGATAATGTGAATCGACTGATGTCAACGACTGATGTATGTAAAATAAAAGCAAATATTATGCATTATTTTCGACGCAGACACCAAAATAAACGAGTTTCCAAATTCTATTAAATTCTCATTTTTATTATATCTTGTTATTGTGTTGTCCTTTTTTTGCTGAAGAGCCTTTGCAGCAAATTTGCAGGCTTTTATGAAATAAAACCGAAAGTCGATGGCAATGAATTTAAAGAGCAAATGTTTCACTTATTATTCATGAAATTTTCGGGGCATGCCACATCAGCAGCATTGCTGCTGTCCATGGCCCAAGTGGGACACCCAACTGGCAGCCAGCTTTTAGTTTACTCAGGCCAAATTAGGAGGACATTGTGCCCAACCGAGGGTCATCAATCCATTGAGGTTTGTCAATCGTACACCACTGACACAGTGTCAATAATCTAGAGCAACCCCAAGGGGGTCTGTTGAGGGTTGAGGGTTTATTTAGTCTATTTTTATGTGCTGTTAATTTGTGCGTTAAGTACGCTGGTAACTGTAACAGCTGGCCGGCTTTTAGCTTTTAGCTTTTAGCCATTGCCTATTGCCATTTAAGCGAACTGGTGGCCAACTGGCAACTGCCAACGGCCAACAGATAATAAAAACATTGCGCATACGAGCATTGCAAATTAATAAGTTCAAGCCAAGTCATCAACTGATCCCAACAGCCAGATGCGACCAAATTGTGAACATATTTTTGTAGCAAGTCTGTATAATTTTAGCATTATTAACAATAAATGAAACATATGGTTGCGAAAAAAGAGTCGAAGAAAAAATAATAAATAAACATGATGCCTGAGCTTCGAGTGGATTGAGCTGAACAAAAATAGCCATACAACATACAACAGGGGCAACAACTCCACTCAACTTAATCATTGTTTTAGTTGTTGTGCGTGTGTTGTGTTATAAATATAATGTGTCACAGTGGGTGATAACGTGGACAGCAAAAGCAAAGTCAGGCCAGGCAAGCAGACACTTCATGTGGCATGCCCCCAGCCCCAAAGTGCTGCCGCAGCGAACGTGTGAGATACTTAAGCCAAACAACACCCACGCTCATTTAGCAAAATTTGACAAGCTTACATGTGTGTGTATACGTGTGCCGAAATGGCGTCTGTAATAAGTTTTATTTTGCTCGCAGATTACAGTTTATAACTAAATGTGAGCTGAATTAAGCAGATGGATGAGGTGGTGCCACTGTCCTTGTCCACGCAACTTGTTGCATGAAGCGGTAACTAAATTTACATATGCATATATTGTAACCGAACAAAGGCGCTGTATTTGCATCTAAGCAACAGACTCACACAGCGTGTGGGCGATATTGAGCCCTCTCCTATCTACATGTGTGTGGCATGCGACACGTCATCTCTCAACCGCTGTCGGCGGGTATATATGGATTTTCGCTCAGCCCACCAAGTGCATTGGTGGCACTGGTGGCAAGAGCAACAACAGCACAATGTGCCACGAGTAAACAAAAGCAACAGCCGCCGCTGCATTCATGTCTTTTATTTATGTGTTTTTGATATCCTTGGAGGCAGCTGGTTGCATGGTATCTGGCAGCGTGGCAGGGGATGCTGCCATCTTAAGCAAGCCGACAACAAAAGCTTAAAGTCGACAAAATCATGCAGGAAAACTTTTGTTGATTCATACTCATTGAACCCTGAATATAAACCGCAGTTCTCATAGTGCCAATGCTACATATATATCTTAATAAAGCTATTATTAGCCAAAAGGTATAGGTTACAAAGTTAAATTGAGTCGAGTTAGTTTGCTTCAAATACTTAAGTTTCGCTGAAAAGTAGGCAACGCTTTTGTTAGCAAGTTCAAACCACTATTTCCATTCAGTGGCAAACTTAACCCATATCCAAAACTATTAATATGTGCTAGACAACAGAAATAAAGATCATTTGTCAAATTTGCCATACAAGAATCCATTTCAGAGTAAATGCCAGGCAGCGCCCTATCTGCGCTTAACACTTTATCGGTAGCCAACTATTAATTCTGGTAGCAATCGAGCAAATGACTACTGCCATGCAACTGGCATGTATTATGTACATTAGCACTTATACACACACATTACATAAATATAGATATAGATATGAACTACATTCGACACATATATTAAATAAATATGGATAGATACGAGCCACATGCAATCTGATAGTGGGCACTGCAATTCAGAATGAAGAGTGGCATATCTGGTATAGTATTTAATGTAATGTACATATTGGTGAATAAAACACTTATTTGAGTTTCAAGCCAAACAAATATTATATATTGAGTCGTTAAAATTATAAGCCATTGTTTCACTGCTTGTTTGATCCATAGAGTTGGTAAATTGACAGAAATTTTGCGTAAATGTATAGATGTATAGTGAATGAATGACTATCATATACAATTAAGAGGCTGAGTGACTTGGGCAGAGATCTTAAATATTTTCATTATTATACCCTGAGTCCATTAAAAATAATAAAAATGTGCAGAAGAATGTGAAAGACAGAGTGAAATATATACGACTCCATCTTTAATTAAATTGTAATAGGCCTATAACAACTTGGTTCACTGTATCTCCTAGTCGAGCTCTCTCGATTTGATTCTTTCTTGTTTTTAGAACCTAATACTCACTGTTGTGATTCTAATGTTATATAAGCTCAAATATTTTAATCTATAATATTTAAAAAACATGTACAATTTAAGTGAGACTTAAAACTAGAATTGAGTTGAGACCAGGACTAGAAGCATTGATTTTGTTACCATTTTAAATGTTTGATGATAATTAATCATTGATAAGCAACATTAGTAACATCTAGAAACCATTTTTGAATCAGCGCACAGAGTATTTCAATTGCTTTCGTATCTGAATTGCACTAATCATAAATCAAAAATATTTTTCTTTTATTACTTATACAATTTACATACCTTATCGGAGCAGGTAACAAAGTTCAAATCATGCAGGGGTTTAACGTCAGCTGCTGTGGGCTTTGGTTATTTTAAAAATTTAATTTAAGACCCGCCAGCATATGCGACCAGCCTATTCTGTTTTGGCAAATAATGCAAACGGAGCAATATTGATTGCCAGCTACGGAAGGCAGCAAAAAGCGTCATGTAAATTTCACAGAGCCAAAATTTATAAGACGCACAAGTAAATATCTTTATATATACACATAAATTTGTGAAGGCTGCGCTGAGGCGGCAAATGAATGAAATGCAAATGAATACCGCGAACTTCTGAATAATTCAGCAGGATACGGCGCGAAAGCGAAGACAAACAGCCGTCATGGCAAACAGGCTTTGATTGAGGCTTTAGGCATGTGCCAGTCATTGTCCTGTGGGCCACGGCTGATAGAGCTTTGATTTGTTAGCGAATTAGCTGCTAACTAGTTGGACAAGTCCAAAGC